TAAATAAAAGAAAAAAATTTAAAGAAAAAGTAAACTTGTGCAATGTGCAGTAAACTGAGTGTAAACTGTAAACTGTGCAATGTGCAGTAAACTGATTGTACTTTTGAATAGTTAGCTTCAGAGTTATTAGTCCAGAGTTCTTGGTGGCTAACGGGAGGGGGTTTCAACGTCCAGTGTTCGTGGGGGCAGAGGGGAGGGAAGGAAGAGAGGGGAGAGAGTTAAGCTTCCTGACAGCTTGATGGAAGAAGCCGTTTCCCAGTCTGGTGGAGCCGGCCCGCAGGCTGCGGTACTGTCTCCCCGATGGCAGAAGGCTGAAGAGGCTGTGTGAGGGGTGGGTGGGGTCACGCACAATGCTGGTTGCTTTGCGGGTGAGGCGGGTACCGTAGAGGTCCAGAAGAGAGGGGAGTGGGACACCGATAATCCGTTCAGCAGCCTTCACTGTGCGCTGCAGGGTCTTGCAGTTGGCAGCAGTGCAGCTCCCAAGCCACACAGTGATGCAGCTGGTCAGGATGCTCTCGATGGTGCCTCTGTAGAAGGAGCACATGATGGATGGGGGGCTCGTGCTCTCTTCAGCTTGCGGAGGAAGTAGAGGCGCTGCTGTGTCCACCCTTTATCAGTTAAAAACCCCAAAACAGGTCCGGCTCTAGGTTAACGCTTTAATTCAGCACACACAAACACACACTCACACTCCACTCCAACTCTAAGACAGAAATGACTCTCCACCTGCTAAACATCTCTCACATCATCAAACATTCATGTCAAGAAAGGCGAAGGTGGTGGAGTAGAGTGTGGTAGGAAATCTTGTTTTTCTCCTCCACACAGCAGTTTTTTTTCCAAGCTATTTTGAGATGATCTCTTCGAATGAACTTTTTTCATTAAATGTAAAGGAAGTTTAGCTCATTCCAAGCATGAACGATGGCAATAAATTTCATTGCAATCTGTCCCAGAGATTAAGATATATGCTGTTTCAGCAAAGCTGATATCGTTATGGAAGGAGTTACATACTCAAAACACACAAAACATAAAATGTGCCGCTTGCACATATGCAGTCAGATAACTTCAGGAGGACTGCTCCAGATATTCTCCTGTCATGGTTGTTCACATCTGCACCTCACAGAGGGAGACTATCCCTGTCAGGTAGGAGGGGGGGCGAGGAGTCTCCTGAGGTAAGACATGACGTTAAAAAAAAAAAAGACGCGTAAGTAGAAGAAGAAGCAACAGAGTCCGCTAATGGCGCTGTAATGAGAATATTTTCCCTGTATATTAGTGCTTTGTGTAGTTCAACAGAATGACACTACCAACAAAATAGCGGAGAACAACAAAATGAAAAACGTAACGAAGCTGTTTAATTATGTGCACGGAGATAGTAGCAGGGGCTTGCTTACACGCTATGCACCCGGCAGCAGCCACAGTATATAAATGTGTCCACTGATGTGTCTGTTTTGCATTCACACATAAAGCTGCTTAAAATGTGAAAGCTCTATAAGTGACTTGTATAGTATCAACTCAAGTAAATATACTTCTTTAGTCTTTTGACTTCCTTCAACACCATGACAACCATCTCCTTTTTTCCATCACCAAAGGCAGCTGCTGGAACACAGTCAGTAAGTCTGGAATTCAGATTTTTTTGTTAGACGTCACATTGTGTGATCCTGTTCCTTTTAGGATATTTAAAGTTTTATCGTCATAAAAATATGTTTAGGAAATTTCAGATTTTGTTGGAGAAACTGATCTAAGAAAGATATGGAAGCTAGTGAGCTACTCCCCTCTTCAGTTGGGAGTCCGTTGAACAATCAATATCATATAATTGGGTTAATTCAAATATAAATGCAAATGTTCCACAGTGCTCCAGTGGTTGTTTTTTCCTCCTGCTTTTAAATAGTGATCTGATCTGACCTCTGCTTGTACAACACATAGAAACACAATGAGAGCCAGGCCTCAGCATGCATTAAGTGTTGAAGGCTCACCCACACACATAATTACCCCAGTCTTTCTGAGGTTTTCTATGCCATGAGTGGTTGTTAAGTGGCGCGGCTCCAATTTAGAAATGACTTCCCTGAGGCTGTGTTGACTGTGTCAGCCTGTAACAGGTGCCAGCTACTGGTCAATGCATTTCATACAGACATAGAGGGACATGACGGCAACAGTGTTGGTGAGTTGGACGAGGTTTATGGACAGAAGCTGCAGACAGTGTGTGTTGAAATTTGAATATGTAGTGAAACATTTGACATGCCTCCAAAAATCCACGTAATTCACAAAAAAATCTATTGAAAATGTCTCGGGTTATTAGCTTCCAGAAAACAAAGTTGTAAAAAGGCATTTGATTTAAAATAAATGTTAATCTAGCAGATCATGACTGACATGGTCTCCCCAACGAAAAATATATGCACCAATCAACAATAATTGGTCACTATTCCATCGTATACATATATATATGCCATATATGTGCCTTTACACAGGGAACTCAACATGATGGGTTGATCTCTTTTAAATCACAAGCGGCTTAACATACTGGTCACTGTGAACTAAAGCAGAGAACTGCCAAGTGAAGAGAAACTGTCGTTGTTCATTTCATTTATGTGCATAGACCCCAATTAAAATTCAAATGAAGACACCATTCCCGTACTGTGTATTGAACATAAATTCCTTTTACTGACTAAAACAAAACAAAAAACAATGTTTTTTAATAAAGAGCATGTCTGTGTTCCTCAATGTTAGTAATTATAGACATAAACATTTGTTTCTGTTGTGCTAATTATTTTAATTTATTGGCTAGCATACATGGTATTACCACCAATAAATAAGGCTCTAGTTTGAGTCGAGTCTTATGTGGACATGTGTGAGTTTATGGGGATCATGGTGGCAATATAAACATTATAATATTAACTTAGGGCGCTCTCACTCTCTGCAAAGTTGTACCGTGCTTAAGGAGAATTGTAGGTGACTGACACAGTTTGCTTTTCTAAGGAACAATGTAAGCGATTTCTGTAGGTTGTAAATATAATCTCAATTATCCCAACCATCAGGTAGGCAACATTTTGTTTTTTTCACTTGAGCTAAGTGCCACCACGATCTGACCTTATTTGAAAAAGTAAGGATACCACAAGCAACAACCACCAACAAAGGTGAGAATGATACGCTGAAACACCTGACACTTAAGATATTCCCTGTGGAGTTATTGACCTCTAGTACCTCTGAGGATTTGTTTTGTTTATCTCTTGCACATACACAAGAGTCTGCACCCACCCACAAACAAACACTCCTGCTGGTAAAGCAATAAAAAGTCATGAAAAATGTTTCACCCTATTCCACTGATCCACAGGTGGCCGTTATACTCCAAAAAGAATTGCAATTGTCCAGCAAAGACAAGTAAAAACAGAGGGCTGAAGCTGGTAAACAGTAACGGTAATGCTGGGTTAAAATACTTCATTACTTTTTTTAAGACTGCAACACGGATGTTTTATGTGGAAGAAAATGAATTGAATTACTTTCTTGGAGTAATAACTTAATTTAAATATCAGCCCTTCATACATTCTCCAGTTGTATAAAGGAATTATATGCAAAGCCTACATGTAGTTTAATTTTGACATATTGGAGCATCAATGGGTTTGGACGAAAGTTTGACTGCCACAGATTGACTTCATTATGCAAGAAAGAGAGAGCTGCTGACCTGCTTAGATCACTTTCATCCAGACCTCGCTGTCATAAGCACCTCCTCCCCCTGCCTCTCTCTGCCTGTATTTTTTACTCATTTGGCACTCTTCATCAACAGTACGTTTTATAAAGTTACCAAAACTACACAGCTCTTGTTTTGAAAAGTTTCACTTGTTATTCCATTATCCCAGCTGGTCATCCTTCAGTACCCAGAGTTCATTGCGAACTTTGTGGCATGAAGAACATGATCGTCCAGCCCCCCAATAATGTACTCATAGCAAGCATGGAGGTGATTGGGAAAACACAGATCAGTTGAGGTGACAATATGTATCCTAGTTGATTACCTTTGTGGTTATTCAAATCATGTTTGAAATGTTGTTACTGATTTTCAGTCAGATATTCACTTCGTATTATTGGTTGAGCACGCTGCAAGCAGGTGTCAAGCTGGACAAAATAGAATGACCCAGACAGGAAGCCAGCCAAGACAACGCACACAGTGTATGGTCAATGTCAAAATAAAATACAATACTGTATACAGACCCACGATCATATTTTCCATCACTTTCCCTAAATTACGTCCAAACAGGCACCGAACAAACATCAAATCATCCTCAAAGACACAAAGCAACATGTTGATTGCATGTTTTTCTCTTTAATCCCGCCTGATCTTGTAGTTCTCCTGTGATGTGTGTACAGCTGCTCATTGCTGCGCTAACACTCCAGAAACGGACCCAGTGGGGCAGGCGCGCTGTCCGATGGAGCAAAACCGTGGCAAGTATGTGGAAATTTGCAGTTGGATTGGAGATTGAGATCAGGCCGGGTAGTTGCAGTAGATCAATGATCTGACTTCCAAACGATTTGATCGGATCTTTGTTCAAACAATCCATGGAACGATACCGATCAATGAATTGTTATACTCCTAATTAAAAGTAAAGATAAGAAGCAAGCTGCCAGCTCAGGAAAATCACCATTACTGTATTTGTCCTCTCCATGACTATCCTCCTCTCCATACCTCTTTCTGTCTTGTTTGTTTAGATGGAACTTGTGCCCAAGGATGCCTTCAGTTATTTCCCTTGGGATAGCAAGAGATGGATGAAGTGATACTCAAAGGACAAGAGGTGGTGAGGCTGGATAAATAGAGGACACTAGGGTTTTTGTGTGAAAATGCTCAAATGTTTTTCTACATCTTGGATGGTAAAGACCTGTTTGAGAGCGTCAGACTGCGAGGAGAGGTCTGTCGAGTTGTACTCATTTTATCAAGAGGTTGATTTTGGTTTCTGGTTGAAATTAGGTATGGTTTGGACTTATATGATATACATATAAAACAGTTTGTGCATTTCTCCTACCATCGTCTCAGGGCCAATTGGAGCAGAGAAGACATACTCCAGCTGGAAGACGATTGCCAAAGCATGGTGATTGGCCAGCCTGAGCTCCAAGCTGCTGCGAAGACCGAGCGTCTGAGAGAGAGTTGATGAGCTGAGGAGAGAGCAAAGAGACACTCAGGAAGAGAAGGTGTGACGAGTGTGTTAATAGAGAGAGAGAGAGAGAGAGAGAAAGAAGTAAGCAATGATGGCACCCACATAAAGATTAAATGTTACTTATGTGCTTTAAAGTCATTACTGAAGAAAATTGCTCCGCCTCAATAAATGCAGTCCCCCTTGTTTCTTTAAATACAGTCTAATGTTTTGATTTTTAGGAAAATAAATCAATGTGCTGCAGGATTTACACACGCTTGCTCAATTTTCCCTGGCAAGCAAAGGCCTCCTGTGTGAGCAGCGGAACAGCATTCTTGGTATTCGTCATTCACAGTTTGCATACACCATAGGCAGGAGCATACTGTGGAGTGCTGGTGTGTCACGAGGTGGGGCCGAGCGCCTTTTCTTTTTTCCGCTTCATGGACTCTCTGGAGGATAGAACAGGCGAGCACTTCAGATACTTTTTTTTTTTCTCTCTTTCTCTGCTGTCTGGAAGCACCAGGCATAACACAGGCAAGACAGACTGTCAGCTTTCACTTGGAGCACCCAAAGAAGCAGTAAACATCATAATTATAGGACATTATCGTACTTATAATATTAAAGAAAGGACTTTCTGTCTCAAAGAAAACACAAAAGGAATTTTTTGGCACTAATTGATTATAGAAGATAATTGCTGTACATATTATGCAGTAATTGGACCATACAGTGGCTCAGCATGTGATGGTGTTGATTATGCATTTGCATCTTTTATCCCATTTTTTCATGCCTTTAAGAAAGCCCATGTAATTATCCAATTAATCACCAAATCCGCTAATGTTTCAATTAAAGCAACACACATAATGCATTGAAATTCAGACACACTGAAGAAGGGGACGTTCATCTTTCACTGTCTGTGCTTCATCTGTTAAGTTAACCTACATACATTTTGGCATTTACGACTTTATTTAACAGTCAGCCTATTACTTTTACTCAGTAGTTCTATCCATCATTATGACAGCAAACGTTTAAAAAAAATATCCCCCTAATCATAGAGAGGGCCACAGCTTACATAAACAACCTTACACTGACAGAACGGTGTGGAAGGATAGAATAAAACATCCAGTGTAATCAGTGGCTTCTGGTATTGATGGCAACTGACAGCAAGTGTTTGCACACCATTATGCCTTTAATCAGTTGGGTGTTTTGCACACAACACCGTCATCACCCTCACAGTGGACATGATATGGACTAAATATAGGAGAAATGAAAGGGAAAATCCTAATTCCACAGAGCTACAGTGCGTGAAACTGACAAGATGGACTCAGAGTTTATAGCAGTGGCGATCTTGGAGTCTGTTAAGGCCCTAGGCAAAAATTCACTGGGGGCCCCTCCTCCCAGCATTCATCACCAATATGTCTGCCAGTGTCCCAATGCTTACTCATCTTTCACTCCCAGACGGGTAATTCCTCTTCATTTTCCTTCGGTGACTTTCATTGACAAACTTTGATTTTCACAGCAAAAATGCACGCTATACGCTTAGCAGGGCAATCAGAGGGAGTGCTGTCAGATGGGGCCCCTTAAGGAGCTTTCATTCTGTCTTTGCTAAATGCTCCCAGTTCGACCCACCACTGTGGTTTGAAGCTTGTAGGCCGTTGGGGGCCCCCTACTGGCCTGGGGCCCCAAGCAGTTGCCTGCTTTGCCTATTGACAAACAGCAGCTCTTGTTTAAAGCCATGGGTAATTTTTTTCTTTTTCCAAAAATCTAAATTCCCAGAAACAAATTCATGACACTACAATAAAGGAAAGGGGAATGACACTTTCTTTTTTAAATACTCTGGGATTTTCCTTAATTTATTATAAATGATAGTAAAACTATATACACTTGAAGAACACACCTTCTATCACAGCTTTTTTGTGATATTTTGGAGTATAGTAGTTTTGTAGTATTAGCATTTTATCCGTCAAAGAGAAAGGTGGTTGTGTGGATCTGTCAATGCAGGATTTGCATATCTTCTCTTCATAGCTTGCAGGGGCAAAATGTTCACATTACAGGCATGACACACTTGCAAACTGTCACAGAAATAGACACAAAAACCTTGTTTATTTAACCAAAACAGCTCTGCTCAATGGCTCACTGATGCATCCTGACAACTCATTAACTGAAACTGCCGGCAGTTGTTCACTTGTGCTGGTCAAAGGTTCACTCACTCAAAACATCTACGTTAGTAATACAGTGCCTGCCGGTGCAATGGGTTATTTTGTGTCACCTCGAGGATAAAGCCTATTGATTACAACATCACAATGTTTCTTACAGCAGTGAAATTAATGAATTGCATCAGTCCTGATCATGAATCTGAGGTCCTACATTTGTAGAAATATTGAGTTTACAAAACGGTGTGTCTTTGCGATGTGGTTCTTATAAATGTTAACTTTATGTTTTACATTAAATTAGATGAAGGATCACTATGTCATGTGCATCACCTGGGGTCAGAGTCTTGCCGTTGTAGTGTATCACCGTGGCTTTGTTGCTTATGACTTGCTGAAACCATTTAATACAAATGTTTTACTGCTGATACAAGACACACTCTAGTGTCCTTATAACAGCAGATCCATTTTGACAAGGCTTGCATTCAGAGTCATGGTGTCTCAATAAAACTCAGGGGCAGAGGCAGCAGGAGCCATATCTCTGTGATTGGACATAAAGTTCTTCCAAGCAATCGAATGTATTTCAAAGCTGTTTTATGAGTGTGGAAGCCTGTATGGCATGGAATACTGTTTAAATTATGAGCCTGCTGTTATGGTTGGGACATATAAGGAAGGCCATAAAAAAGACACAATATTTTTCTTTGACTTTGGTCAATTGACTACCAACAGAGTCACATGAAGAACATATATACAGTGTGGGGCGGTATCACCACTACAAATAGGGGCATTAGGAGTTTGACTACATTTTTTAGTAACTTTGTGGTAGCAACACTGTTTTCTGAATGAAATAGTTTAGCTGTTTTATTATTCTAGTAGTGCGGTAGCATCCAGGAAAGCTACATTTCCCAACCAAAAATCCACGATTGGTCAATGAAAGAGCGCAGCAGAGCACACTTTCACATTCTGAAATCAAACTGTTAAGGATGAGTAGAAGACGCCAGCCGTACGCAGGCATGTATAGGAAGCAGACAACCTACTTCCATATGACATCACAGTCTAATCCTTGATGCCCACAACAACATGTCTGACATCCCTGCCGCTATGTTGTAGTAGCTTAGCTTGCTACATCTCTCCTATAGTGGTAGCTTTGGTGTTGTGAAGCTTCATTTTATGTGGAGTAATTAGTAGCTTAGCTCACTACATTTTACTAGTAGCTTACTCAACACTGACTCCATATTATGAATTAGTAAATATAACAATTAAAATGTTGTTGTTTTTTGTTAACCAACATCATTAAAGGCAAAGAGGTGTTAATTTTGTTTTCTTCTTTTACTCAACTGTCTGTGACAGCATCGCCCTCTGGGGCTGAAAGATGAAGCCAATGCTGAAATCCAAACAACTGCAGTGACTCTTTACTTTCACATAAGGCTGGGTCCACGAGCACATCAATCCCTCTGGATCTTATATGAAAATGCCCAACTTTACAGTTAGTCCCTACAAAAGCCCTAAGGAGACCTCATCCAAAACATTTGACTGAAATCCAATTTTCCCTGATAACGAGTAGCTTCTGATCCTTTGTGATTCTCCTCATCTTGGAATAATCTTGTTTTTTTCTGAGATCTTGAGAGATGAACTTGTTATCATGGGCAAACCTGCGTTGTTTTCCCAAAATAATGAGATAAAAAAAGAAATAAAAATAACCCAGATTTACTTGTTATCATGGTAAAATGGAGTAAAATAAAATGTATGAATGTAAGTCTGCTTACGGCTTCTGTTACTCTATTTGCCTCTTTAACCTAATGAATACTGCAGTCAGCAGCCACCTTAAAATAATCTCTTTCTGTGAGAAGCACGGAGGTCAGCATCACAACAGAGAAACACGTGTTTCCTCTACTAACCTGTCCTTGATCAGGGTGCTCTGTTTGGAGTTGCTGTCTGCTCGGCTCCTGGTGCCTGAGGATAGGAGCTCCAGCACCACCACTTGGGGCTTTTCAAGGAAACACCAGCCATTGTGGACCCCGACATGTAGCCTCCTCTCCTGGATAGCAACAGTCCGTAGTGTTTCGTCTGGTCCTGGCTGTTTCTAAAAAAGGAGGACAGAGAAGATTTGCGTGACGACAGAAACAGATAGTACAGCACAACATAAATGTGTTTCATTTTGATCAGGACATGTTTCTGGACTTAGTCAAAATGAATGAAAGTAGTTTCAACTATTTTGGTGTTGTGTTATTTACTAATGCAATAGCTTAGCACCTATGTGTCCACAAATAATCTCTCAGTTATGCATGAGACAGACGAGTATTTGTTAAATCTAACTACTTTCCAACGTATAAAACTCGGAAATTAAAGGACCAATATGTAACTTTGACACCTAGCGTTTTAAATGGGTACTACAGTCCAATTCAAAACATTGGAGAGAGCTGACTCCCCCCCCCCCCCCCTCCTGTGTACACAGTTTGCTATGTCCCGGACATGGAAGCTTCAGTGTTTAGCCAGCTTTGCATCTTGAGACGTTTCTGCGTGCTGTCGTCTCTGCATTTTACAAAAGTATCTCCATTATTTAACCTGTTTTTACCATGTGAGTTTATTAGGGTTGGTTTGCTTGGCAAACTGAGAGGGGAGGGGCATAACGGTTGTGTTGAGTGCAGTAAAACCACCTACTTCTCTGGTCAAAACAAACTGACCATTACACACCAGAATCGAAACTTTGAAGGAGGACATACTGACTGCTGCGATGTTGACAGAGAAGCCAGCACTTTAACATAGCATGTTTCCTTAATGAGATTCAGTAGATATCTTACATATTGGACCTTTAAAAAAAACTTGAAATGTCTTGGTAAATATCATAACATTACGAAACAAAGACAAAATATTTGACATTTTTGATGACACGAAACAAAGAATAATTGCATAAATATTGCTGGCCTGTTTATCATCAATAAAGCTGAATAGCTCAAAAGCACTCCATAAAGAAAACGATTTATTGTATAGGAAATTAAAATCTCACTTCATCTTAAAACCAAGTGAGAATACTTCCTCTTTGCAAATCTATTCGAAGGCATCACAGGGACACCATAAAAGCCTGTCTTAATTATCTCTTTTCATTATCCTCAGGTCCTTGTACCCCCTGATGGACTGACTGTCAGCAGTCACAAATCCTCTTGCGATACCCCTCTACTCACTAGTAAACCATGCATAAGGTTTCTATTTTAGAGATTTTTTAACAAGATCTCATTTTAGACAAGTTCCTTTAAAACCAAACGGCTTTGACAAAAAAATTATGAAATGCTTTAAATCACATGATCAACTGCAATCTCAGCAATCCTAACACATATTGTTTAAACACGACTAACACATTAATTCAAAGTCCTTTCAGTGACAAAAATACAAAATACATGTAACATCTCGACCAAAAAAACTTCCTATGTATCTATTTGACTTTTTATTTTTTGATCCTGTTTTACACACATACTGCATACGATGAAAAGGAGATGGACACACTCATTCCCCACAGTGGCCGTCACACTTCCATAACCAGAACTCGTACCACTTTCAGCCGTCCCTGACTCCCTGAATCAGTTCATACACCTTAAGTTAAAAAACTGTAAGTCATGTCATATTACTAGCTAGATGCTCCTTTTTATATCTATTTCTTAATTACGTCATCTAATCTAAACTTTGCCACTTAGTTCACAACAGATCTGAATGTCCTGTATAGTTTTTTGTTTGGCATTTAATGGGTGTATAATTTACTTTATACTTACTAGTTAATCGTTGTAAATACATCGTGTTTAGTTTTTATTCCTATCTTTTCTTATTGTTTTTACACTTATATGCATGCTCTTCTTGTTCTTTTTACTGCTGTGACACTTGAGTTTCCCCACTGAAAACAAAAGATCATCTTATCTTATCGTATCTCTTATAATACTTAGGAACCCAAATTTGCAGCCATGGTCTTTTAAGGATAAAACAAGATAATTCTTATTCGGGTTTTATACAAATAACTGGAGTGTCAGTTCCTCATAGTCTTTCTTACTTGGTATAGAAGCTGATTTATTTTAGTTACTTATCAGATTGTGTATCAAATAGTATTGAAAGCTGTCATCAAAGGTCTGGTCAGAACTAACCATCAGTTTTCTCCCCAATAACGATATTGATATCAGCCCCACAAATCCCATATTAGTCGAGCCCTAGTTCTATGTGGGATCAACCTCTATGAGAACTGTGAACTGCTCATGATCTGCACACGATTGACGCAACTCCGCACGGAAACTGCTTCATCATGTTTGTCTTTTGATTTGCGTGTCTTTTGATTTGCGTGTAATCTTTAAAGTCATGTGTCCCCCTGAGATCCCCTCCCCCACCCCCACCCCCCTCTCTTCGGACAGGGATAGACTCCTGCTTCGATGTTCTTGTGCGAACTAGCAACTGAGGAAAATTTCAGGGGAAGCCTGTCTGAAATATTCTAGACATTTTTTGCAGCGTTTAGATTTACTTTACTTACTATTTATATGATGTAGACAGCTGGCGGAAGCATTGATGTGTTTATCTTATCTTCTGACATCTCATCTTTCTGTGTTCCACGATTTGAGCAATTACTTTAAGTAAGACCAATATTGTATTACATAATAGAAACTGTGGAGTAAACTATGACAGTAGGAGCCAACTAACTCATTGATAAAATATTTCTAAGTCATATTCTGAAGACAGCATGACTATTTTCTTTTTTTAAGACAAACTGTGCGTGCTGATTAACAAATGTATGAAACCAGCCAGTGTGTCAACAGGCGTTGGTGGAGCCTGTACCGCCACCTTGTAGCTGCAGCCTCTAACACAGCACAGCTGACTGACAACTGCTCGATGATTGACTGTAAACTCTCACACTCCAAAGTGCAGAGCCACGCTGTGCTCACCTCTCTTCCCACTCCCTCCATTTGTTTCATTTCATTCTTTCCCCTCTCTCCATCACATCTCTCACTCCCACTCTCCCTTTCTCTCCCTCTCTTTTCTTGTCATTCTCGCTCTCTGTCCCTCTCAATGCTTAAAACCTTCTCCATATCCACCCACACCTTCTCGATCAAATTAGCATATCAATTCAGCTTGTTTTTTTCAGTTTTTTTTCTTCTTTTCAAGCAACAGCAGGAGCAGCCGGCCAGCTTGCCTAGATACTGTACAGCCCACATATACACTGTTCACTGCTCTCCTCATATTACATCTCTGCACTGACTGACTCCATCCATCCCTCTCTCTCTGTCTGCCTGTTAACCATCTTCCATCCTCTTGTTATCGCCGCTTATTCCCTAACGGACAACAACAGCTGATATGCGCTCACAGTAGTGTGCCTTATTTGTCTTCTTGTAATGCTGCTGGGATATAAGAGTCCTTATTATAACCTCTCCTGTCACCTCGAGTGGCAAGACAGATTCATGTTTGTTACACATTGGCACAATCCTACTCGGAGTAAAAAACCCAAAGAGCCGAGTCTGTAGGTCCATTGTGGTGCGTTTTGTGGAAGTTTACTTTCTATTTACCTCTAACAGGAACTGGTGACTCACTAATGCATTGCTCTATCTATAGTTTGTTTTGAATCATGTCAGCTCTCACTTGGCTTTGGAGGTGGTTATATAACCGTCTTCCAGCTGGATCACATAGGGCTAAAGCTCCATTCAATTAACGTTTCCTGTCTGAGTGCCAAGACTAAGATGTGCCCTCACAGAGGAACGTACAGCACGCTTTCAATCCAGGACTTAGTCGCATGCACCGTGACAAGTGGGATAATTACTAATTAGGGGAAAAAACCTGAAAAACATGTTAAATCCTTGTTTGCATTATATGGTAAAGGTGTTTATTATTATTATTATCGTATTATAGAGGATGTTCAAACGTGTTCATTTATTCACATTATTCCAAAATATTTTTATTGAAAAAAATACAAAACAATACTTCCAATCACAGAAATACAATTTACCTTTTTTTAAACATATATGCATATGTACACACAGTCACATAAACACATATAAAAAAGAAAATAACCAAAAAACAAAACAAAGCAAAACAAAAATACTCTGATAAGAATGTAGAAGAAAATAATTAAATTAAATCACAGAGTAGAGTGCAATAAACAATGCACAACCCCCCACCCACGCCCCCACTCAGTGCATCATGACCAACACACATATTAATGGTTATTTATGCAATACAAAAGGTGCAACAAAAGCAGGCACGCATTCAATCGGGTGGTACCTCTAAATTAGTGAAATAGGAAATAAAGGGTTGCCATTTGTGGAAAAATTTGACTGTACATCCTCTCAACGTGTATTTAATTTTTTCAAGTTTTAAAAAAACATCATGTCTTTGAGCCACCGGGAGATAGACGGATATTTAACAGACTTCCAATGCAACAATAAGGAACGTCTTGCTAGTAAGGATGTGAAAGCTATAATGTCCTTTTGTGTAGAGGTAAGTGCAAGTAAGGGGTCAGGAATCCCAAATATAGCAATCAGAGGACAAGGTTAGAGATTTACCCCAAGAACAGTGGACATAATAGTAAAATAACCCGCCCAGAAACCTTTCAGATCAGGACAAAGAAAAAACATGTGGCTAAGGTGACAAGGAGAGCCATGGCATTTATCACATTTGTCTTCCACTTCCGGATACAGTTTAGATAGTCTAGACTTAGAGAAATGCACCCTGTGTAAGACCTTAAACCTTAAAAAGAGGTGGTAGATCGTATCCTCTCTATGACCTGTTCCCAGGACTCCTCCCGTATTCGTATTCCCAGCTCCTCTTCCCATGTACACTCAAGTTTAGCATTTGAGTGATTGCTAAAAGCCAAGATAATATCATACAACTTTGAGATGATTCCTCTGTGATGAGGAGCAAATGATAGCGTGGTTTCCCATCGCTGTTCTGGAGGTAAAGAGGGGAAATTAGGGAAACACTTACTAACAAAATTGCGAGTCTGAAAATAGTGAAACAGATGAGTAACAGGGAGGCCGTAGCGAGATGACAAATTGGCAAAACTATCAAAGACACCATCTACATACAAATATTTGAATTGTGTAATACCCTTGTCATACCACA